AACTGATTTAGTTTGCAATTTATACTGAATCAACATTTCATCGATGGCACCAAATACTGACAAAACAGATCATCCAAACAGACCATTCAAACAGCGAAAGCCTTTGAGTAAGTTTTTAATCGTTAATCACGATTCGTTATGTAATTTATTTGTTTAAAATGTTGATTGTAGTTTTATAAATTTATTTAATTAAAGTTTTGGTGAGAAATCAGTAAGAGTTTAAGATATTCTGTAAACAATTTTTATTTATAATAAGACTTATATTTCAAGATATGGTAAGACTTTATATTATTTTTTAAAAAGCATATTCGGCAAACTTGTGGACGCAATATACTGTATACTCTAGTAACTAAACCATTAATTATTGATAAAACGATATAATTTACATGTAAAATAATTTCAATTAGTAAAGTATAGGATTTTGATATTTTGTAATTATAACATTTTCTTTGTCAATAAAATGTTTACCATTTTTCAAAATTATTGTAAAAATCATTTATTCTTAAATCTAAAGAGACTAGTAATTACGGTAATATATTTGTTACCATACATTAACATGATTTCATGAATTAATTTGTTTCTCAATTATAGCGACTCGAAGGGAAGAGGTCTCCGGAATAAGAGCTAAATTTCCCACTAAAATACCAGTGAGTATTCAAATATAAACTTAATTACTAGAAATAACTAGAAATATGCTCCGGAAGAGTCCACAAAAGTTTTAATCACGTTTCATTAATATATTTTATTTTCATATTTTGTTGTTAGATTAGATAAAAGTATTAAACTTATGTTGCTTTTAAATTCAAATACTGGTATAATTTATAATAGTCTAAATGTACTAATATATGTAACATTAAGTCTAGAAATTTCAGTAATATTTAAAGTTTACAAAATTATATCATATTTTTGTTATAATATGAATTAGTCTATTTTTGAAAACAAAACTTCGATTGAGTCGATTAAGTAAATAGAAATTTGGATAAACAAAAGTTATGATAAAATATATATAAATATTATTTTCTTTTCTATTTATATAGTATTTTGAATATTATTTACACATTGAATCGCTTTTATATAACTTTATTCTCAATCCTTAGGTAATCGTCGAGAAATATTCAAAAGAGAAAAGTCTTCCGGTTTTAGACAAAACAAAATTCTTGGTCCCACAGGAATTACCGATGGCTACCTTTGTAACGATCATCAGGTACAATCATTATTTATTTTAATAAATTCTTATGAATTCTCTGAACACATGTTAAGCTATTAATATTTTTAACGATTACTTGTCATTGCATATATCATCTGCCTATCTGTCTAAACCTATTTATAGGTCAATGTTCTTAACCCTTAACCGTTAAACCCTTTATCTTATGTCGACATCAGATTAATTGACTTTTTATTGTAATTTTAATGATAAATGTGTTGAAAGTAATCGGAAAACAGAGTAATAGTGCAGATAAAACATTGTGTATATCAGCAAAGATAATGACAATAATTTACTGAATATTGAATTCAGAGTTAATGTTAATGTTAACAAACGTGTTGCCAACCATTCAATGCATTCACTTGTCTATAGGAATCGCATGCAATTGTCATCAACTCAGGCTTTCTATTTGATTGTCAACAACAAAAGTATGGTTAATATGACTAAAACCATGGCTGAGATCTACAGAGACAACAGGGATGAGGACGGCTTCCTATACGTGACGTACGCTTCACAGGAAATGTTCGGCTCTTCACATGTCCTCACAATCTCATAGTTTCCGCAAATGAAGTCTCATTTCTTAATCTCTATTAAACTGTATTTATATTAAAATATTGTATATAAACTCGTGGATCCTTTTTATACTTTGTTTGCCAACATTAATCGATATTTAATTGAATATTTCATGAATTTTATTGTCTTTAAAGCATTAACACTACAAATGTATTTAAATGTAAAGAAAATATGAATAAAATTGCCGTCAATTGCAATCAATTATTAGGTGTCGGAGCCGTTGAACTCATTGTAGGATTGATTGGAAGGTCGGGTTGAGTGATGCGTTTGGAGCCCTCGACTAACATGTCGTGAATACTCTTCGCGAAGTTCACCTGACCTTTGATTGTCATTAAGTATTGATTGTATGACATCGAGTCGGGCGTCATATTAGGGTTCGTCTCTATATTGTCCGTCTTATTGACAGTGAAGGGCAGGTATTGGTGACTATCCCTGGCCTGTATGGCACACTCCAGGATTGTTTTCTATCAATGGATCAGTTAAGTGGTCAGCAAATGAAGACATTCTCAGCCGAGGAATCACTCACTAAATAGAGTTCTATTTGATTACAAATGGAGAAGAAGTCTTCTAACGCTTTGTCAAAACGCACGACACTATTGGACTCTTCACTCGCTTTCCTAAAGTGGGATCAAATGGTGACAATTGATACAAAACAATGTATGACACGAATGGATACTGTCTTACAATCCGCTGTCAATCTGCGAGTTGTGTTGGATGTTATGTGCGGACACTTTCATCACATTCTGACACATAGACAGACATATCAATGAATGGTGACATCAATGGAAACAGTCATCACTTACTGCCAGCGACTCCTTCAGAGTCCACACGAGTTGACGGACTCTTGCGATCAAATCGTACTTCTGTTCGGACGGTTGTGGTGCCGACGGACCCCCGCCTGACACCGGTTGAGACACTGCACCCACGGGTGGCGGTTGTCCTGCCATGGGTTGAGTCATGGCTTGTCCTAAGGCCTGACCAGACATCGGGTGAGCCATCGGTTCCCTTCAAACACAACAACAAATCGACTCAAAGTCACATGAATTCCCAAATCACTACTTGTTTGGTAACAAAGGCTTAACTCTTATGATTGAACGACTATTAGTTAAGCCCTTTATTGCAATACTACAACATTTTCCTTTAATTTTATAATTAATTATTTAATTCATAAGAAATACAAATAAATTAATTATAAATTTATAAATGATATCAAAATTAAAAGATTTGACAAATAATTTGTGACAATATTAGTGATAATCCAAGAAGTGATGGATTGCCAGTAAAAGTGTTTGACTGTATGTCATATCATAGGAGTCGCTGCCATCGCAACACATTTACTGCCATTTTATCATTGAATTGATTTCATCTGACTTTCAGATTGTCCTTAAGATTAACCACAAAATGATTTCAAACAAAATATCCAAATATCCTTTGAATGGATTAGTCCTCAAGAGACTACTGAGTGGTCAGACGTCTCCCAAGCGATCAGAAGCGGAGCAATCGAGAGGACAACAGCTGAAGACCACAACACTTCCCAACGGTTTGGTCGTGACTTCGCTGGCAAATCAGAGTCCGATCGCAAGAATTGGTGTTATAGTGAGAGCCGGCGCCAGATATGAGCCGTTGGATCAGTTGGGACTGACCCACACGTTGAGGTCGATGGCAGGCTTCTCGACCCAAGACTCGACTGTCTTCGGCATCACCCGAAACATTGAATACGTCGGCGGATCACTCACTGCCCTCACCACCAGAGATGATATGATCTATATCTTGGAAAACGACTCGAGTTATACGGATCTGAACCTCAAGTACTTGTCGGACACTATTATGAAGCCGGCGTTCAAACGGTGGCAAATCAAAGACAATCTGCACCGACAACGCGTCGATTTGTCTTACTTTAGAGATAACCAACAACTGGTCCTCTTAGAGGCATTGCATTCGGTGGCCTATAGGGGCGGACTCCGGAACTCCATATATTCGCCGGACTTTATGATCGGAAAGCACTCAACGGAACAACTGTCCCGTTATGTGGATCAACACTTCGTCTCAAATCGCACGGCTATTGTTGGCTTTGGTGTTGAACACAACCAGCTCTTGGAACGGGTGGACAAGTGGTTCTCGATGTCCAAAGGAGATCGTGGCAATAGTGGACAATCCAAGTTCATCGGCGGTGAGACCAGAGTTGACACCAATTCGGAGGTGACTTATGTGGCCGTCGCTGCTGAAGGAGTCGGGTATTAATGGCTAACAGTTTGATAGTTTGATAGTTTAATTGTTTGCATTATTCTTAGCGCTAAGAACCAAAAGGAAGTCTTATCTCTATCTCTACTGCAAACCATTCTGGGAACGGGTCCTCGCGTTCAGTCCAGTGAAGGAAAGCACACGAAATTAGGTGAAGCGGTGGCCAAAACAACTTCAGATCCGTTTGCTGTTTCCGCTTTCAATATTAGTTATTCAGATTCTGGTCTCTTTGGTGTTACGGTCGCCGCTTCGCCACAGGATATACACAAAGCAGTGAAGGCAGCCGTCACTCAGTTGAGGGCATCCGCTAAGAGTATTTCCGACGAAGAGCTCAAAATTGCAAAGTATTTCAATTGAAACACTAACTGAAACAAATGATGTGTTAATGAAGTAATTGTATTGCTTTTGTAGACATAGTCTGAAGGCTTCGACTCTTTTAGCCGCTGAAGACCCCAATGTTTTGGTCGAAGAGATCGCCACACAATCACTGAATGCCGGACAAGTGATTTCACTTAAAGACTATGAGAAAGCTGTCGATTCGATAACAGTTCAGGACATCACCACTTTGGCCACTAAGATCACCAAATCCAAGGGTGCAATGGCTTCCGTCGGTCCCCTCCAAAACGCCCCCTATTTGGAGGATTTGCTCTAATTGTCTGCTTTGACGTTAATGTTATGATTTAGAATTAGTTGTAAATAAATACTATATTATTTGAATTTTAAATTAAAGATATTATAGAAATAATGTTTGCTTTTTAATGATTTCTTACTATGATATGCAGTACTTTTACCCTAATTATGAGTCCAATTTTGTCCAGATTCATATTAGATTTAATTTTTATAAAATTTTGGGACTATGCAAACAATTATCATTGGACATAACTGACGTGTAAAGTAAAATCTACCGGTAACACATGGTTTGGGACACAAATGCCCGTAATGAGTAGTCTCTGTATATTCTTATGAGTAATACATTAAGATTAGAGTATCTTATAAATAGTAATACGGTACAATATTAACGAATTTTAAAAGCATATCTTACTGTACGGTATATGGATTTCTATAGTTAGAGATTTCAATAAAGTTTGATTCATTGAATGAGACAATACTTTTAAATATTAAATAGAAATAATATACTACATTATGAACATAAATTTATCTAAATTCTTGAATGTATAGCAATGATATACAGAGTATTAATGGTTAACAGTTAACTGTAATGTATTTATTGAACTCACTTAAAGAGCAAACGAAACTCATATATAGTATAATATTTTCGTTGGGATTTTAATTCTATTTTGCAATTCTTGAAGTTAACATGTTTTGCATTTAAATCATAAAGTTTTACAAAATAAAATTTCATATACTGTAACTTACAAGTAAGAAAATAGTAAGTTAATTCAGTATAAATATTGTAAAAAGTAATACCGTAAGATAGGTCATATAGAATTTACTATGTGAACAAGGTCAAGCAAGCATAATTGTCTATATTTCTCATTAAATGTCGCATAAAATTGATGTATTGTAAGTACTGTACCAGTGATTTGTAAGTAATATAGTGTAATGTACTGAATCTCATAAAATAAAACTATTACTAAAACATGATTTAAGTACAAAAGAGTCGATACCTGTGGTGTAAAGAATAAGAGCAAATACACAGTAAATACAGTGGAAGGGGTTGTGGAGTGGTATAGGTTATAAAAATGAAATGATTGAAAGTACTGACCCATACCCTTGACCTGACACACC